TCTGCGCAATTCGTCCGCTGGCGCAAAAGTCGCTCCGGTGTCTTGTAATAAGAATATTGTAAGAAAGGCAACCTTTTACGTCTGGTACAAAACACCCTAACGTTCACCACTATACCGAGCTCAATTACAGCGGATTAGTTGAGTAGCAGCGCAGCTTCATCAAAATGCAAGGTCACTGATCGCATTAAACCGGGGAAGAAAGTTTAGGCACATTTTCAAACACTGAATGCATCGATTTATGCGTGGTTTCATTGAGGTGGTGCACCTGGAGTGTTGTTTGCTTGTATTTGTCGAAATAGTGCATAGATTATTGCTTAAGGTCATTGAGCAATTTCTTTTTTAGCTATGGTCAATGATAAAGCGCGAGCGCTTGGCTTTTTTGCCGCAGCCCCAGGCGTCTATTTCAACGCGGCATCGCGTAAGTGCTGAAACAGACGCCCGTGGAAATGAAACTGAGATGCAGCAAACCATGGGCTATCATCTTATACTCTCGACGCTAGACGCTTTGCGTGCTACCTTGATATTATCGGCATACACTTCTTTCTTTCCTTGTCTTTTCATCAGCTATTGTGTGTCCTCCTCCCCTTCTTAAGTGCCCAATAAGTCAAATTGGTACTCACGCCATATTAATCCCTCCAGATAAGAAAATTTTTGGAGAAAGCTTTGTGAATTCGGCCCTTGTTCTTTACCTATGAACGTTCCAGGATAAAGAGCAATGTGGTCTTTAGAGTTAGGTTTACTGATTTGTGTTCCATTTTCACAGGTAAAAGCTGAGTTTGTGTGATTCCACGTCAGATTGAACATAACATGGTAGGTCGACCCCGAAAAACTTTTTTTTTCAAAATTTTATATATTCTTCTCTGATGAGTGGAACGAAGAGATCCGCTGTTGAATTTGCGAGAAAAATATTTTCCAAGCACAGTGAATCAATAACGATGAACAGGTAGAGTTCCACGCTTTCTTGCTGTGCTGTTTTTTGCGAGTTTGGCGATGATTTACACAAAAAAGTGGTGGACGCTTAAGCTTCGCCTATAGGAGTTGAACGCGACAGCGAACCCCCCCCCCCCCCCCCCCCCCCCCCCCTCCTAGTGCGTCCTTCAACCGCTAAGTGCATACTTATAATATGTTTTGTTACATACACACACACACACAGAGTAAATTGTACCAGAGCGCGCGCTCGAATGGTACATACAGGTTTTCGATTTAAAGCAACAGTCGCATGGCCTCCAGGACACGCCGCGCGCTCACAATCTCGGCGTACCATAAAGAGTCTCACAATGCCTCACATATAGCAGAATATTATCTAGCGTTTGCTGTTTGCTTGATCAACGCCTCTGGAAAGGCATGATATGTTTTCCGCTAGATGGGCATAGTTGTTGACGTGTAAAGCTATTGGTAAGTTCCTGTGTGTTTTAGCGGCGATGGCTGCACTATCCAGGCCCTTTTCGACGTCGTTTGAGGTCTCCTATATGCGCCTACAGATCGCCGAATGGGCTCGTTTTTGTCGAGACACCTGTCGAACAAAGTACGCTAAAAAGGCCCTTTAACACTTTTTCAAGTAACCATGGAATGAACTCACTAGAAGTACTTATTGCCTCAGGAATTCAACGCCGCACAAACTTTAAGAATTCGTCTGGTGCGAGTGGAGTTACACTGGTTCTTTGCATGCTGCAATTGCATTATCTCTTCTCTCGTCTCGACGAAAGCGCTGGAAGCTAAGCAGGGAGGGATAGCAGGGGCAAAGAAACTACGTCAACCGCCCCTCGTGACTTTGAGCATTTCTTTTTTTTTTTCCTCGAATGCGCGGTTTCTTCAGTGTGATCGTCCGTGCACGCGTGGACAAGCAGCGGCCTCCCGTGGCGTTCTCTGTAACTTGCTCTTTCGCTCACTGATGATTTTTTCTCAGAACCAATGGGACCGACACTGACGGCGGGATTTCTGCGACACGAGCTCTCTAATACTATCGCGCTAAGATAAAGCTACGTACAATAATTTGTTTAGCTATATATATGCCTATGTTTGCTTACGTCCAGTTGTTTCTTTTCGCTTCTCTGGGTTGTTTATATATCTTTATGAAATCTGAAGTTCAACCCCAAAACAAGTTTATGATTGTTTGCAGGCCTCAATTTCGAAAAGGGCTTACGACAGAGTGGTGTAAACTCCGCACTACTCTTTTAGCATGCTTAGTTATAAAACTGCCAGAGCTATAATAAATATGTTCTTCAATAAAAAACTATAATGGCGCTTACTTCAAAAAAAGACCATGCAAGGGGAATTTCAGACGATGATAAAAGAGATTGTTCATATTTCTCAATTTTTTCCTTTTATTGCCTTGTAAATCAGTTCACACAATCAATTAAACATGTTACATTATATGGTTTCATTTGCAGTTACAGCCCATCAAAAATGCCATTGCGCAAGGAAAGACAATTGTAGTTCGGACTTTCTGTCCACTAAGTATGAAATGCAGACATATACATTGGTTGCTTAAAACGCAAGGCAGCACTGAAATGTATGTCGAATGCACTGAGAACACCAATTACGAAATGATATCGTAACGGGAGTGGTCATGGCTGCTGGATTAACGAGCAAGCAAATGTGCCTAGTCTAGCAAGTTCCGGGGCAAAGAGGGCTTGTTTTCGTGTCTTCAGACGGAGAGATTGCGATACAGCCGGAGGTAACTTCCACGCATTGACATTGGAGCATATGTATTTCATCCGCCCTTTGCTCGCTTAGGTGCTACGCGCCTAAATATTTATTTATTTATTTATTTATTTGTGATACCTCAAAGGCTCCTAAAGAAAGGGGTTTTACATGAGGGGTGGGCATAGACGTAGCAGACGTACCAGACGTTCTTTATGCTCTTAGTGTGTTGCAAGTAAACGCGAACAAAAGCACGTCTAGAATACGCACTTGTATATTTAAACAAAACCGTCTCGAGGTGACTGGTGACTAATCAACTTGGGCAGGGCAGGATTTCAACACTCGTGCTTGGCCTGTAAACAAAGGCAATCAACCAAAGTCACAGATTTGCTGTCTGTAGCTCAAGTTCCCCGAATGCATTCGGCGCTCGCGCAAAAAACACTAGGAGGCGTCGACGTAGAAGTTAAAGTTTGTCTGCGTTCCCTCATTGGGAAGCATCATAAAAATTCTTGTCAGGAAGCTGCGACCGCTTGCTTCCCGCGTGCGGCTGACAGCCGCTTTAGGCCGAGAAACTGCGCTGCACGAATTGATCTCAGTGAAAACCATAAAGGCAGTGTTTCAGGAGCCGTAATAAAAGGGAACAAATACCAAACTATAGGAAACCAGGTAGAGGCAGCAGACGTGTTGTACTGGCCTTGCGCCCAGTTCGCTGCTCACACTTCATTTGACTCCGATAGTGCTCGCGCTTTGCCCTGCTACTTTGCGTTTCATGACTGCAAAGTATAGGTCCTAGCAAAATTATTCTGCTGAATACCGTTCGAAACACAAGAAGCTCATTTTAGAGACACAAAATGTTTGCAGAGTTTGCGACTAATACGTCACAGCGTCATGCCGCAGTGCCTTAATGAACCTCACGCGTACAACACTAAATTCTAATGTTTTACCACCATGTTTATCGCTGATAGTTTGCAGCCGCAAGACGTAATTACTCAATACAATATCATGCCAAATTGAAAAGCTGTCGGCTATCACAAATTTCATACAGTCTTCAGACATGTGCTCAGTCTTGCGCAAAGGTCTCATTCGACGAGCCCTCTTCACGCCGAAACATGGACAGTGAGCTCATGCGTGCTCTGTAATCTCACACTCATGGCTGCTCCTGTTACCAAATCATTTCTAAATCGGCGTACTCAGTGCAGTCAACAGCTATTACAGTGCTGCTTGCCTTTTAAGAAACTTAAGTACAACCCTGCAATTCACACTTAGGGGGCCGGAAGTTCAATCAACAATTGCCTTTTTTTGCGCAAGAGTATTTTTTGACGAGCAGTAACCATAAGTGACACCATACTATGCAACATGTTTCTATTGATTGTGAAAGCTGATGTGCTGGAGATTAAGTGGGGAAGTGAAAAAATCATCAAAAGTGTTTTTGATTGTCGTCAAAAGTTTCTCTTGCATGCTTTTTTCTTGAAGTTAGCGCAATTATATCTTTTTATTGAAAGTTAATTACTATTAGCTTTTACAGTTGATAAATAAGGATGCTGGGAGAGTATTGCGGAATTTTTACCACTCTGTCATAACCCTTTTTGAAAACACCTACAAACAAGAAAAAAAAAGGTTTTTCATAGGTCCAATTCCACGTTTTTGATAAAAAAAATGTGCATAACCCACAGAATTAAAATATAATTGAGCTCAAATGAAAGCACGCGTATACTTAGCGAAATTAACTTGAGGTACGTAGCTGTAATATATTTTGCGTAATTCATCATTAGAGTAGAAAAATAACAGCAGAGCAGGTAAGCGTGGCACTCCACCATTCATTATATTTACTGTGCTTTGAAAAAGTGTTTTCAGGAAGACCAGTTGTGAATCTCTTCTTTCCACTCATCAGGCAACAATATATAACTTTTATAAAGAAATGTAGGAGGTAGAGCAGTGGCTTAGTTCAATCTTTCGTGGAATCAGCCCACATCATTTCGATGTCGGGAAGTGAGAACAGACCTCAATTTTACCGAATAAAAGATAGGTGCTTTTTCTGAATTCTTGCTGAACTTTTTTTTGTCCGCCCATTTAGAGACCTTGCTCAAACCCAGCTGTACTTGCCGCTCATGCACAGAAAGATTGCATTCTTGAAAACCTATTTGAGTATCATCAACATATAGCAAGGAAAACGTATTTCGGGGAATATTGTCATAGTCTTTAGACAGTAAAAGAACGCAGAACACTTAGGATAACGAAAAAGTCCTTATGCAAAAAAAAATAAAATATATTTACATTAAGTGTTGAAAAATTTAACATTACAAACCGGAATTTTCAGCACAGACTACATCTCCAAAACTAAAAAAAAAGGTATTTACACTTTCATCACTGCTTGAATGCCTTGATGAGGCTGCTCCGGTGCCGGGTTGCAGTCTCGTTGTGTCCGTGATGAACGGAGCTTCACCGGAGCATGACCGTCCGACGCATCGTCGGGTTCCCGTAGTGCCCGGCAACATCACGTCAGGCACACGTCGCGGCTGCACCACTCTTCCTCAGCTGCGAGGCCCGAAGAGCATAGCAGCTTAGCATCTGTTCCGAACCAAGAGCAAGGCCTCGCTGATCACGCCCCGCAGGTTACGGTGCGTTTTCGGGAAGAATGGGGCACTTGACCAGGTGCTTCGCTGGCGGACTTGTAGGGAATGCCTTGCCGGGACCACCACGCGTCCACGACAGTAGCCGTTCCAATCCGCACTGCATTGCTTGCTCGCTTGCTTGTCCCTATTGCCTGGGACAAGCCTGCGACCCACCATGGGAGATTGGCCGTTAAACCAGCGGTTATTGTATAGAGAAAAAGGGAAATTCAAGTATTATTGAAAAAACAATTATCCTGTCGTCGATGGAGTTTAGAAGTAGACAATCTTAAGGTGATGACAAATAAAGTAGGTAAAAAACCTATTATCGAAATGTGTGAATGAATGGTAATTTGAACAAACTAGAACTTCATTAGTAAAGAAATTGAACAAACAAACCTCCTTCTGTCTCATAGACATATACAAACTGCCATGCAGACGCACGTTTTGCTGTGACCCAAGTGAAAGGCCGAAAGAGAAAGGATATTTTGAGAATTAAGAGTGTTGTTTATTTTTTTTAATGTAAGCTTATAACTGTTTTTTTATTGCTTGTGAAATGTGGGAAAATAAATAAAAATAAACGATGTTTCCTGGCTCATGACAGCAAAAGCAAGTGGGAGTTGGTACCTGACCAGGGCCGTATAATTGAAAAGTTAGTGTCGGAATCCAGCATCGAAAAATTGTCACGCGCACTTAGAATTTGTGAGAGGGGCACCATTCATTATTCCAAGTGAAAGAAAGATGACGGTATTCTTGAGCTGGTAATCTAATTTTCCTGAAATCCTCAGGTAAAAAATATTTACGAAATCAGGTTTCAGTGACAAAACTGGTATCAGGTACAATGGACACTACAGGATCATCTATAGGGACCACCGCACGAGAGTGTCAGCCATTTCACTCATGAATATGCTTCGCTGACCTGGCATCCACACCAACCACACTGTACTCAAGTGTTTTGGTAATAAAGAAGCGAAAGCATTCCAAGTTGAAGGCACAAAACAAGAAGCTGAGGTTATGGATCTGCATATCGAAAGCGAATCACTAACAATAACAACTGCCGAATGATTTAATGAACGTTTTGTAATGGCCAAAGTAATTGCTGAAAGCTCTGCTTCAGATGTAGCAGTGTAATCTGGGAGACGTACTGAGAATGACCCAGATTATGTCTTTGAAAAGATACCTGTCCCCGCTTTCTCTTCCCACATGGATGCATTCATAGCAATTAGATAAATAATTTCCTATTGAAGTACATAGTCTTCTAATAAACATTTTAGATATATGTTAAATAGAACTTTGGTGACTGAAGGAAATCGATGATGAAGTTCAATTTTGGTTTTTGCCAGTGAGTCATTTGAAACATCGCTGAGTATGTTAAAGTGTAAAGGTTCTATCTACTTTTGCCAAGATATTTTCAGGCCAACGTACCCTAGACCAAGGCTTTTTAAAATGTTGTCGGTTTGGAAATGATTACGTTCTGTAAACGTGTGTGCGAAAAAGTGTTAATTTTTTATTATGCTTTTATGGCAGACATGTTTCATGTACAAGATAGGGTGGGCTTCTTGATATAACGCGTTGTTCGCAGTAAATTTCGAAACTTGTAGACAACTCCGCAAGGCCTCTCATTGTAAGATAACGGGGACATTATTTTTATATAGTGGCTCCCCAGAATATAAAATGCAACCTTATTCTAGAAACCGGCGAACATACGTACAGTAAATGATAAGTAGACTGTCCTAGCGTAGGCCAGTGGGGTGTCCACCAAGTTTACGAATTGTTCCAAAAGCATGAGTTGCCTTAGATTTAATATGTTCAACGTGCTTTCTCTCAGTATGTTTTTCCTCATAAAACACCCTAAAAATACTTGACACAGTCACCTTGTGAAATCACCTCTTGGCGACATTTAAGGGATGTGCTAAAAGGAGAATTCAAATAAAAAAAACAGCCACGTAGCTTTTTCTAACATCTAGAGTCATTTGAATATGTTTAAACAAAAATTTTAAAGTTGTTAAATATGATTTAAATGTAGAATTCAGAGAACGTATAATACATGCAGACGAAAAACGCAATATCATCTGCATATACACGCACTTGGATGTTATTGCGAAGTTCAAATGAACCTAACAAGATATTAAATAAAAACGGAAGAGAAGACAGAACATTGAGGAACCTCTCTGTACTAACTATATTTTGGAGAAGCTGAAGCTCGTTGTGAAAAATGAAATTTCCAATCCTTTAGAAAATCGTAACCCGATTAATATAATACTGCGAGAAGTTCAAGCTTTTTAATGATCTGAGGAGGGTTGAATATCCGGAACTGCCATATACCTTACCCAAATCTAGAGTTACTAAGGCTGAATAGTGATGCATGTGACGAGCAAGCTTGAAAGGCGTTTCACTAAATCAATATGTGCATCCAAAATGGACCATCCAGGTCTAAATCCTATCTGACAAGGACTTAGTACAGAGGTATCTGTCATACATTTATTGATTATAAGGTTTAATACTACTCTTTCAATTAACTCTATTACATGCGAAGTCAATGCGATACTGTTATCAATATGTGCACCTGCACCATGTTTTGTAATCGAGAAATTTGTTTTCGAATTTTCTTTGCGCTGAAGGAATCCAGCCATTCTGAAGTGACGAGAATAAGTGGATCCTGAGGAGACACCTTTAATAGCATTTTTAACATATATGACGTTATGCCGTTTTGACCTGCATCTGAACTGGGGAGACACCAGGCAAAATGATCAAGCTCACTTGTACATACGCTAATGAAATCGCCCATACACGAAGGTTTTGGAAAGATTACCTTGGAATTATATGTAAAGTGCTTTTGTAAACCCACTGCAATATGACCTAATGAATCAGCCAATTTATCAGAAGTCAGTACAACAGACTCTATCTATGTTGTTTGATGAAGGAATACCGCTATTAGACCTAAAAAGTCTATAAATTGATTTTGTTGCTACTTTAAGGAATAAAAGCATAGCGGTTTCCCTCATGTTGACATTTTAGCATAGAAACAGTTCTTTCAAGCATAGCTTTGGTGTACTTATAGTTGCTCCGATTAGTAGGGCACTGGTTATTACGAAGTTTGTTTTTTCGTTAGCTTTTCTGCACCTGTACTCTAGTTCGCAATCCACCAGACACACCAGACACTTACAGCAGACATTTGCAGGTTCCCTTTGTGCTGAGGCTATAGTGAATTGTGAGTTTTTCATAGAGCAATTTAGCACCGAACACATACTCTTGGCTTCAATGTCATTTCCAGAGTTCTGAAAAGAAGGCAAAGCTGACAGCAAGCTTTTTAAAATTTTAAATAGGTTGCAAAAGAGTGAATCTAATGATCCAATGGGACTGAGCTGTAATAAACGCCAATTACTATTCGGCAGTGATCACTATTAGTGGTGGTATCAACCGATGCCCGAGAAAAAATCACGAGGTATGAGCTAGCGAAAGGCAAGTCTAACACAGATCTTGAATTACCTCCAATAAATGTAGCAACATTAGAATTTAGACATGTATAGCCATTTTTACTGATCCAGTTCAGCAGAATTTCACCTTATGCTTCTATACAGAATCTCCATGTTACATGATGTGAATGAAATTGACCCATAAATAATGTAGAAAGTCGGCAGAAACTCTTATTGGAGTCCAGAACACTTTCTCTTCTACGGCAGTTGGAAAGTAGATGTTCACGAAAGTAAGTGGCACGCAGCAGAGAAGTACAAGTTAAACACTGCTTGAACTTCGCAATCACATGATAGTGCCCGGAAAACAACGTTCGCTTGATCCCTCGTGCCTCCTTGCGTATGCCTTTCCGACGCCGATGCCGAGAGGCGCAATTGAAGCTTTCGACGCGTAGACGCGAGCATATGCGTGCCATTGGTTGGTACTTTAAAAGCATCGTGCACACCGACGCGCGAGCGGGTTTCTCACGTGTTATTTTTTTTAATATTTCGCGGGCATTTGTAATTAGCACAAAAACATTATTATTTCACACGTATAAAGTTCAAAAATATTTTTTTGAACGTTTTGCAAACCGATCGACAACTTTCTCATTGAAATTGCTTATCTATCTTCAGTGCTTCGAAAGTTAGTTATTAAACAGGTCTAATTAAACAATATTGGAGAACACAAAAAATATTCTGACCAACACCAGGTAACGGTGAGCAACATGCATTTGGTCGCGTCGTAATCGCGTGTACCGGCATAATTTTAAACTTGGAATAAGGTTACGTGGGAAACCCTGTATATTGTAGTAATTGCATGTCAATTGTATTGCCGTTTTGACGCTTCGTATTCTAGTTTTTCTGCATGCATGAAACTGACTGGTCCCAGAAATAAAGTCGTTGGCAATTGAAAAAAACGTAGTGGCTCTTGGACTAAATTCACTGGCAAGCAGCCTAATTGACTTGGCACTCGGATTAAATGTCTGGCACAAGGAATAAATAGCTTGGTGCTCAAAATATTTTAATGGCATGCAGATTGTTTAAGCTGGCACTTGGATTAAAGTGAACGGAAAATCCTGTAGTCAAAACCTGAAAATGATAACATGTATCTCATAAATGTCAAGATTTTCATTTCTTGGTTTTACTGCTCTTGAGGTGGTTTCATTCACAGGACATGTTGCTAAACTAGTATGGTATACATGACTGCACAGTGTTCATAAGGGGCAGACCATAACAGGGAAATCACGACAAGAAAGTCCCGTCGTGCGTTATAGTTATTTTTCACGTTGGGTAGTCAGTTTGATTATACTTATTGTATGATCTCCGTCAGCAAGCTCAATCTTTAAAAAAATAGTTTTTATTGTGCATTGCATGTGAGCAATTACAGTGAATATTCCAAAACGCCACACGCTGCCTTTACACTCGAGCTCGACCTGTGAAGCGAAATGGTTTGAGCAATGAAATCTAAAGTTGCAACCACAGTCCACGCTAAAGTCTCCTGCACTTCACCAGTGCCGTCTGAATGACGTTGCTGCTCGAGAAATTTTCACAACTTTGACGTTGCGAAAAGCTTACGCGTGTATTCGTTTTGATGTTCTTGTTCCGAACTTGCTGATGGAACCTGCAACGTCCGAGTGCAGCAAATTGCACACTGTTGGAGCCTGATCATGGCTGACACAGGCGCTACCTAATGCGAAGGTAAACACTTGTG